AGGCGAATACTCTCCCTGCGTGCCAACGCCGCACATGAAATTTCATTGACTAAGTGCGTACATATCATTAAATCGTTAATAGTACCCGTTAGAGATGAGTTGGGGTAATTGATCTCCAATTATACCCGTAAGGGATGAGTCGAGACTAATTGACCTCCATTAGTACCCGTATGAGACTAGTTGGGACTAATTAATGCCCAATTGTACCCGATTCAGAGTAATCTCGGAATACTCTGCACAATTTTTTGCAGGGTCATTCGAGACGTGCAAAACGCCATCCGTGTAGTGAAAAATGCTTCATTTTAATACGGGCGTATTTGAATTGAATATTTCCATTATATGTACGTAGTGTATGTATAATAGAAAAATCCATTTTGTTAAGACTTTTCACTTGATTTAAATACGAACATTTTTAAACGGTAATCAAATAAAAAATTTGTATTCTTACAACGAGTTTTTTTCTCAGTGAAGGATAATGTTATTAACAGCTCAGCCTAATATTACCGGCGAGAGTTTTTCTACGCACGCACACAAGCTTTTCTCATTTGATAAACCCAGCAGAAGTTTGCTGCGAAAAAATTGAATTCATAGTCGCGCCAAAATGCCAATTGAGCATAAACGTCAAATCGAAATGTCACGCAAGACAAATCTTGGAATTTGAGTTAGCTTTTTACGCACGCATATAAGGTTGGCCTGTAACAATTCTTCCCATCCGCATGGTGCATGTGGTGGGATTTGAACCCGCGACCTCGGTGTTTAAGTCAACACCTCAATCTCCACGTATTGTAATAATAATAAAGTCCGGCGCTTACACAATATGTTAGTGTTTGGCCGAACTTCTCCTCCGATTTGTCACGTGGGCCTTAATGTTGTGACACAAAGGCGGTGCGTACAGTTTTATGTCGACTCTGAACGGCGATTGAATTTTATGGGAAGCTGTTTTTCATTTTCAAGGTTTGCGCACTTCTAACCACTACACCCCAGCGGCCTATATGCGAGACATATATTCAGATAAATTTTTTAGTTTTTGGTATCGATATTTGGAATATCGAGTCATTTTATTCCGATATTAATGGATACCCTATATTTTTAAAGCGATACTTTAAATGAGTACCATATCGATACTTTCGGTTTGATATCGTGTCCCTAACCCATGAACCAAAAAGACAAGATCACGCGGGCTGGAGACTAGCCCGTTAGAATCGCATTTAGGAAAAAAGTTGAAAAGTTGAGTTTGTTTACATTTCTTCGTTGTTTACAATTTGGTGGTGGCTTTTTACTGCAATTTTCTTCATTTTCACTTGTGACAACGTGTGTACACATAAGATAAAGAATAATTTAACACAACGGCATGATTTATAGAAGAATTTGCATAATAAAAATGATTTTTCATGCGTTCAACAATTTCGCGGTTTTCTCCGTTCTCTTCGTTGTTTACTTCTTACAACAAAGATGGCGTCGAGATTTCGGCAGCTAGAAAATAACGTTTTTTCCTTCCCGCGTGATCTTGTGTCTTTCGTTCATGTCCCTAACCATGCCAAGGGAAACTAAATACAAACGCAATACCACGATTGAGAGAAATAGAGATTGCGCCAATCGCGGTACCGCTAATCCGCTCTTTGTGATTTTGACAGAATGAGCTGTGTGCATGACGTCATCTTGGTGCAATTGTTGAATGTGAGCATACGAAAAACACCAAATAACAATTCTAATATTTGTGCGTTAATATTTCTGCGTGGTTTTAAACAATTATTGACACCTTAAAAGGCAAAACGAAGTGTGCAGTGGCAAAGTGTAATAGTGAAAACAAAAGGAAAGCGTGCTATATAAGTTATTTTTTCGTTTCCTACGGACGCAAACCTGGCGAAAAAGTGGAAGCAGTTCTGCCGGGGAGGACATGCATTAAAAACCAAATCCAGCTTTGTGCTATGTGTGTGAGCTATGAGCTTCTACATGGAACTATGTTGGCCTTCTTGGTGAATTGTAGTAGGTATATTTCCACGGTGAATGTAGACAGTTGCTGGTTTAGTTTGCTGGCAATGGCATACATAGAAAAGTAGTTTCTACAGTAAATAGATACATGAACTTCACTACCTACTTATTTTTGTTAGTACCTGATTCTTTTAGTGCTGGTATGAGGTAATGCACCAGTGGATAAGGTCGCCAGGCGTTAATTTAAGCGGCATCTTACCGCACTGTTACGTACCTAATACAAAACAGTAGCCAAATTATTATACATTTAAAAGTTCAGCTTAAATTATGTTTTACTGACATAGAATATTTGCTTTCAAAAAAGTCACACAAATAAAAGCTGCGGAGTCAACAGCTGTGGAGTTTATGGTGGTTGGCTACCGTCCACAAATATAAATATGCACTCTGCATGGCTTTTTAAAATGGCAAGTCCAAAGATTCACTTTGCTGCACACCTTCCTTTTGGTCTACATGAAATTGCAAACACTGTTCATACATCCATTTTTTCATGTGCTAAAAATCGTACTTATCTAAAGGGCTACATGTCCAAAATTATTGCTACGTGTTCCTAATTAATCAATCTTTGTATATTTATTGATTCATGCAAAATTGGGCCATGTAATATTAAAATTAACACATTTTTCTGCATTGTTTACATATTTTTATATGCGTTTTGGCATTTCTCTCTCGCAATTGCACCAAGATGACGTCACGCAAAAATTACGCTCAAAAATCCTCTCTCATTGGCGCAATCTTGTATTCTATCATTCTTGACGCAATACTGTAGGTTTGTTTAAAGAGCAAAACATTTTCCTTCATATTTTTTTATATGCTATTATCTTCCGCAGAACGAAATACCAGAGAGTTCGGCTAGTGTCTTATCCCGTATAACATACACATGGTTTGGTGGTGGTTATGGCGTGGAAAGTTTATCATACCTTTGGGACTTGCGCCCACAAAACAGCTGTAAAGAAGTCATGCCAATATTTGCCTACTATAAAGGTGCTGGCCCAATGCAGGCTTGCTTTGCTTGCTTCGCTGTGAGAAGTGTCAAAAATTATTTGGAATATACTAAAACGTATAAAGGCTGGCCAAATGGCAGCTTTTCTTCACTTGCTTTAAGCGCCTCAAAGTTTGAATTAGGCAAATGTTTTATTTGAAAGCGTTTTTTAGGCTTTTGACAAAGAGGTATGTTCCTTTCTAAATACATAAATTCAAACAAAAATTTGCTTACTTAATTTAAAAAAGTCACAGAAAATGCAGGTAATTCGAAATGAAATAAAAATGATTCATT